AGCACCCAAGCCCACTACAGTACCGCTGGGAGCACCCAAGCCCAACTTGCAAGTCTGTTCCACCACTCTCTACTTTATTCACTTGAGATAGAATCTCTCACTAAACCTGCAGGTTTTGTTTGATTCTGTCCACACTGGCAGGCCCTCAGGTTCCAATGATTCCCCTGCTTCTGCCTTCTCCCTTTCAGCACATATACTAAAACTGGAAAGACAGAGAAAATTAGCATGGCCCTGCACAAGGATGACATGCAAATTCATGAAGTGTTTCAGATTAAAAAAAAAAAAAAAAGCTCATCTATTTTTGTCAAAGTAGACACTAGAAATTTTTAAATGGTGCTGGAGAGATGGCTCAGAGGTTAAGAGCACTGACTGCTCTTCCAGAGGTCCTGAGTTCAATTCCCAGCAACCACATGGTGGCTCACAACCATCTGCAATGGGGTCTGATGCCCTCTTCTGGTGTGTCTGAAGCGAACAATGGTGAATACACAAAATAAAAAATAATAATAATAATAAAAATAAGCTCTTTAAAAAAAGAAAAAAAATTTTTGAATGGCTTATTTAAGTTTATCTTTCTACTAAACAATGTTAGTCTAAAGTAAACTAGTTACAAAGTCTTGACTTAAGAACTTGCAAGACTGCCAAAGGTGGTTCGCACACTTTTAATCCCAGTACTCAAGAAGTAGAGACAGGCAGAATTCAAGCTTAGCCTGGTCTACAAAGTGAGTTCCAAGACATCCAGGGCTACAAAGAGAAACCCTGTCTCAAAAAAACAAAACAAAGTAGTAAGACTCCTGCAAGTTGTCTTTTGATCTCTACACAACATGGTTGTTCACACAGATATATGATAAATAATGTAATAAATAAATTCTCCATATAAAAGACGATGCTTATGGGCTGGAGAGATGGCTCAGTGGTAAGTGAGCGCACTGCACTTCCAGAAGGGCTGGATCCAATTCCTAGCACCTACATCAGGCAGCTCACAAACAGACGCCAGCCCCATGGGCATCCCATACCTCTGGCCTCTGTGGGCACATACTCACGCGTGTTGTGCACACACACAGAGACACAAACAAACAATTAAGATTAATTTAAGACATTTTAAAGATGCCACTCATGAGCCAGACATGGTGGCGCACACCTTTAATCCCAGCACTTGGGAGGCAAAGGCAGGCCGATTTCTGAGTTTGAGGCCAGCCTGGTCTACAGAGTGAGTTCCAGGACAGCCAGGGCTACACAAAGAAACCCTGTCTCGAAAAACCAAATGAATAAATAAATAAATAAATAAATAAGTCATTTATGACAACTTTGAATTTAGAATAATGCCCACACCAGTAAGAGGTAAGAATAATAAATAAAACGTTGAATTCAGTGTTTTTCTTTTTGTTTTTTTGAGATGAGATCTGCTGTTACTCAGGCTGGCATCAAACTCAGCAATCCTCCTGCCTCAACCTCTGCCAAGCAACTTTTTCCAGGCTACATATACAAGCTCATGCTTATAGAAACAGACTAAGCTACAGAGAAGAGGCAAGGAATGAAGGGCTGGCCACACACCCCTGGGAGGTATCTGCCTCACTGAGCACATCCTGCCTTCCTCTCACCTCTCCCTGGCGCCTGGTCTTGGGGGAAGGGCTGAAGAAGTTGTGCAGGACAGAGAGCTCTGTGCTGAAGAGCGCACTCTCTTTCTCCAGGATATACTGCTTCAACAGTGGTGAGACTTCATCACCAAAGAGAGCCTGGTTGTCCTGCCAGATCTGCCTCTTCACTTCCACAGCACATGCTCGGTACAGCTCCTTGTCAGCCATCACCAGCTTCAGCTTCTTCTCAGGAACCTACATAGTAAACACCACAGCTCCCTGCAAGCGCTGCCTGTGTCACAAGTCTCCACAAGGCCTTGGCTGCTCACAGACCCTACAGAGCCCACCCACATCAACAAGTACCTGTGATGGACCTCCAAATCTTACCAGGTGAATTCATACATCCAGAATCCCCATAGCCCTCTTCCCAGGAAAGACTCACCCTGCACTTCAAGGAATAAATGTGTTTCCACTTGGCTCAACTAGGGGAGTGTGTGTGATACAGAGAAGGTACCCAGAGCTTGCTGGGGGCACGTCCATAAAACTTTCCTGAGCTAAGCAATTGCCTGCACTAAGCCCACAGTCTGGGAGGGCTGGCTCCACAGATCTCACCTTGGGCAAGTGTTTCATAACACACATCACCACTGGTTGTAGGGACGGCATCTTGACGAGAGAAAAGCTTTTTTCCAGAAGGTCTTCTAGCTTTTTGTACCTGCGCAGATTTGCACAGAGGAGAAAGTGGGTCTCTACATGCAGAACATACAGAGAAGGGGAATCTCTCAAACACATTCCAGGTTGTATCTACAAGTAGGGTTGTGCAGCCATGGGGACCATAAATGCTATTCACAAAGATATGCAGCTAATCACAAAGACCCACCTCTCCTCTGCCTTTCCCTCAGAGGCAATAGCTGACACTCGTTCCAGCAGTTTGTCGCGGAGCTCATCAAACACTGACTGATGGAACTCTAGCCGCGGTGTCCCGTGTAGATCCAAGAAGGGCAGGGCCGACTGCAGGGAAGGCAGCAACACGCCATTCTCTGTCTGGGGAAGCATAGGGTAAACGCAGCTAAGTCAGCACAGGCATCACAGATGCCCTGAGTACACGGGTCTGCCGTGGTAACCGCGGAACGGGAAAAACGCCTAGAGTTACTCAGCGGGTTCCTAACTCAGAACCTTTAGCGCCTCCATCCAAGCGTCGGGAGCGCGCCGAATTGTGTCCAGCTTCCCTAGCTGCTCGGGCCCCTCCTGCCAACCTGAAATTGCTCAATGGCCTTGAGAGGCTCGGTGCAGTTGGTCAGGGTCTCTTTCAGGTCCTCGCCATTGGCCACGCCCAGGTCCTGGAGCCCCGCGAACATGGCCGAGGCTCCGGCGGTCGCTCGGCTGTGTACCCCATCCCCGCTGCGCTCCGCTGGAGCCGTAGCGGACGCTGACGGAGCCCCAGAAGCCCTCTCCACGGTGCCACGAGGACCCCCCAAGCCCCGTTCGCCCGCCGCCTCCAGCGTGGCCTGATCGCGTCAGCAGAGCCGCTTGCACGGACGCACACCTCCCACTTCCGCCCTTGACTGCCTAAGTCCAGCAGCCAATAGGCCCCGGGAAAACGCCGCCGCCGCGCGTAGGTTCCGGGCAGCGACTTGCTACCCAGTCAGAGGTAGTGAGATCCTGCGCAAGGGGCGGGGGTGGGATGTGAAGGAACCCAGTCTAGAGAGGCCTTGACCACTCTAGCCCCGGCCCCTGCCAGTGCTATGAAATTTTCAGCGGTTCACCTCATCTGCTCTCTGGGAACCAGAACCTTTGCCAGTTCCAGGGGATCTGCTGTCCTCTTCTGACCCCCACAAGCACCAGACATACATGTGGTATACAGACATACATGCATTTATATGCATAAATGAAATCACTTTTTAAGTGAGTTCTGGTTTGGGCTTAGTGGTACTTTTTTTTTTCCCTTGAGACATGGACAGTTTAGACCAGGTTGCCTCAAACTCAGATCCTCTGCCTCCTGACTGCTGGGATTAAAAGTGTGTGCTGTCCACACATGGCAATGATGCATGTCTTTAATCCAAGCACTTGAGTTCAGGACTATGCTGGTTTACACAGTAACTTCCAAGACAGCCAAAGCCTGTCTGAGGAGGATGGAAAGAAAGAAATCAGCTCCGAGAGCTAAGAAAACAGCTCAGCAGTTAAGAACGTTTTCTGCTGCTGCAGGGGACCTGGGTTCAGTGCCAGCACCCACATAGCAGCTCTGCAACATCAGTTCCAAGCTCTAATGTCTTCTGGGCACTAAGTACACATGATACACATACCATACAAGCAAGCAAAACACCATACACATAAAATACATTTTTAAAATGTTCTTTAGTGAGATCCGTGTCTGGGTGAGGACGAAACTATGGAGAGGGCCCTGGAGAAACTGCTATCACTTAGCTGCAAGGCAAGGCTCCTGAAGGGGGCTCCTTCTAAGTAGAAAGGCAGGTCCTGAGGGAACCATCAATGGGTAGGGGCTAGGACCAAAGGCTTTGGGCTTGGGTTCTATGAACACAAGTTAGCAAACACATTTGAATCTTCAGGTCAAGGCCCCAGGGAAGTAGGGCTAGTGTCTGGTGAGCTGATTCCCTGGGTCCTACCTCAGTGGGCTAGGCAAGGCTGTGTAAAGATGACAGCCCCTCCCCCACCATTCCATCCCAATAGTTCCTCAGCCCAGCAAGCAGCCCTAATCCTCAAATAGATGCTGGATCTTGGATGACTGGATCAGGTGGTCCCACATTGACACAGGGTCCTTTTCCTATTCTATTCTAGGTCAGAAAACTTAAGGTTAGTTCCCAGGCTGCCATTTCAATCCTGAAGAAAAGAACACTATGCAGAAAGCCAGAAATACTAGGGAAACAAGAAGCCACATATTTAAGTCAGCCCACTGGGCAAAGATGGGCAACCAGGCACACCAGAGACCACAGTTCAGAAGAATCATTTGCATCTCGGTATAGTGGGGGGAAGGGAGACTCTGGGAAGACTCTTCTTGTTGCACAGCCTATGCCAGAAGAGTGGGTGAGGGGTGTCTAGAGGGTCAGAAGGCCAGGCTACAGACAAAGAGTTCCAAAAGAAGCCTAGGAAAGCCTCAAGGGAGGTCAGCTTTACAATCTATATGTGATGGGCCTACAGTGTGCAGAAGGGGCCTGTGTCATGGCGCTTGGGTCTGCGCACTCCTTGGATAACTACTCCAGGCGGAGATGGAAAGCGTGAGTTGTAGCAGTCTTCCACATAGTAGGCAGCTGGACCTGGGGTTCGGGCTGCAGAGAGAGTGAGCTGACCCTAGTCCTCACCCCAGCATCCCTCCCCTCCCTTGCGGCCCAAGCCCCACTTCACCCCCAAGCAGGCCAAGCCGCTCCCCCCCCCCCCCCCAGATCTTCCTTACAAGAGCTGACCCAGGATGCAAATGCAGGAGAGCGGCTCATGGAGAAGGCAGGTGAGCGTGTGCTCTGCAGACGGCACCCAGGAAGGATGTTATAGCTGTTGGGGCTGGGTCGCTTCTCGCCAGAGGGCTTTGAGGTAGGCACGAGTGGGGTATAGCTACAAGGACCTCGGGCTCGGAGCATCCCTGGACGGAAACGACTCTCGGGTACTTTGACAGCAGAGCGACGGCGGCCTCCAAAGCTGAAGGCCGGGAAGGCAGGCTGGCTCAGCGGCGTGTACTCGGCGGGCGATGGCCAC